CCCGGCCCCCCCTGGTCGGCCCGGCCCCGGCGCGGCCCCGAGCCCAGCGGTCAGTCTGAGCGCGACCGGTCCCCCGAGTGGAGCGCGAGTGTGTAGTGTCCCCGACGTCTCTCCAGCGTCTCTCCAGCGTCTCTCCGTCGTCTCTCCGGCGTCTCTCCGGCGTCTCTCTGGCGTCTCTCTGGCGTCTCTCCGGCGTCTCTCCGGCGTCTCTCCGGCGTCTCTCCGGCGTCTCTCCGGCGTCTCTCCGGCGTCCCTCCAGCGTCTCTCCAGCGTCTCTCCAGCGGACTGCGGCAGAGCGACCGACATGAGCTGCTAAAGGAGGAGGACCACCTCGCACAATGAGACGGTAAGTAATGTGAGAAAGGGGAGTGATTTGGAAAGTCTTTGTTTTGTTGTTATTCTGAAAAAGGTAGGTGTCATGCAGATGAGATCTAAATTTTATGGGGTACCAATGGGATCAGGACGGTCAGTGGAGTCGGAGTCGATGGGAACCCCACTATATTTTTACCCCGGGGTAAGAATATCATGGGGTCCCCATCGACTCCACTGACCGTCCTGATTCAATAGACGGTTCAGGCAGTGCCCGTTTAAAGAAGAATTAAGGAAATCAGCACCGGAAACAGTTCTAAAATAACGGCCAAAACAAGTGCAAATGAGCCAGGTCATTTACGTCGAACTGCACTGTCAATTTTCAAAATCAGTGAACTTCAGAAACTGGTTTCGGTCGCGACTTCCTTACTTTTTCTCGAAACGCGCACAGCGGGAACCATCTATTGGGACCCCATAATATTTGGAAACCCCCTGTTGGGGCGCGGTTTGGGCGCAGCCCCTTGATCGGGGTACTCTCGGATACGGGCAGATGGCGGAAGGGCATCGTCACCCCTACGGTCGTTTAGCACCGAGCGCCAGAGAGTCTAGCCGGACGGCTCGTCCCTACGATTAAAGTGAGCCGATGAAAGCAAGACCGTTTCGGAAAGGGAAACGTAAACAAGGAAGAATGCGGGGCGGGGCGGAGATGCACCGGCGCGTCAGGTGCAGCAGCAGGGCGACCTTGAGGGGAAAGGGGCCCAGCTGCCCCGGGTCAGGGACAAAGGCCCCTCCTCCTCCTCCTCCTCCGAACATGTGGATCGTCTGCCGGCCGGCCGCTCTGCGGGGAAACGAAAGCGGTCCAGCAAGGCCCGGCCCGGCCCCCGGCGGCGAGGAACAACGGGCAGCGGGCAGGGCGACATGATCGAAAAACCACGACGAAAACAAAACAAAACAAAAAAAAAAAAAAAACGGTGTGCAAAGGATGCGTCACTTTTGTCGGATCGATGTGTCGATGAGACGTCCCATAGAGCATGCCACTAGGCTCATCACTTTTGTCATATGCTTTTCTCGTCCGGGACTCGCTTGATGAGTCCCATGCACCCTGTGAGAAATCGAAACCGACCCCTATAGTCGTATCGTTCTGGAAACGATATACCGGAGACGTGTCTGTTTAGAAATGCTCAAAATCGATTCGAAACAAAAATCGACCATTTTGTTAAAAATAAAACTGGACATATCGATCTGATGTAGTTTAAACGTTTCCCTCCCCAGGGCGGCTGCCGCTACCCCTCGCGTGCAGCACCACCCCCTGCGGGGGGTATGTCCTCTCGCGCCCCCTCCGAGAGATCGATTCTTGGTCGGCAAACACGTCACTTTCGCGAGGGATGCCCCGTACGGAACACGCCTTTTACCCTCGACCCCTCGACGGCACAGCGTTTGTTTTGTGAGTCCCATTGCAGATAAAGTATAGTTTACAATAGGGGGGCAGTGAAATAAATTTAAAACTAATTATGGCATCCACAGTTATCGCAAGTCGCAGCGGACCACCCCCAGCACGTCTCCTCGACGAGAGGTGTCCAACATCAAAATTACCAAGGGGTCGTTGCAATACTACGCGACTTTTAAGGGAGGTGCAAGTATAATGGGGTCCTAAAAAGACCAGGAACATTACTGAAGTCATTCGAGTCCATAGAGACCTCATGATATGATGTGTACCTCAGGTTACTCATATTATGGGGTCCTGTACGGGCTTCAATGATGGTCCTGATCCCTTTGGATGGAACCCCATAATATATACACCCCCACCTGAAAGTCACATAGTACCGGCACGACCCCCTAAACTGCGAAAGTGAAAACGCCGGTCCGATACGCACCCCGCACCCATAGGACCCTGCTCTTCTTCTCCCGCTCGGCGCGCCGTGACGGCGGCTCGGCGGCCCGGTCACACGCGTGGTCCTTGTCACGAGTCAGCGGGCGGCGGCGGCGGCGGCGGCGTTCCACCGACCGGAACGACTGTCGCGGGACGATGTCGGAACGATATCGTAATAATAACGACGTTTGTCGACTTTGTGTTATCGCGTACTGGCGTCGACGTTTCGTGAATTCGGGCAATAAAAAAGGTCCCGCGATCTGTAACGAGGTATGCCATGGCTGAGCGATACCGAAACCACATCGTTTCGATGTCACTGTGATCGTTATTGGCTTTTTTTT